CAGGCTGTGGCTGTGTTGAGATTAAGCCCTTGCGCAGGCTCCATATTGTCCCAGGTCTGGCCGAGACAGTGGCGGAGATTAAGCTCTAGCTGGCCTCCACTGTGGTAAGCCAAAAGCCTCCAGCCCCTCAAAACTTTGTGGGTCTGTGTCTGCTTATCTTTATGATGCTCCTCCTGCGATCCAGCAGTGGTGAATTTCCCGCTAAGCAACTCTCCTAGAAAAATGTTTTTTAAGTGATGAATACCGTGGTTTCCCAAATTGTTCTAATAAAGTCCTTTGGATCAGACCTCATGATCTGATCAATCTCATGGCATGTAGTTGTCATGTCTTTTTGGTCTCCTTTATACTAGACATTGACTCAAATAATATATTTGAGTCAATGTCTAGTATAATATATATATTATTTATTATATATATATATTATTTAGGGCCAGTTGATTTGTAGAAGGCTCCATAATTTAGAGAACAGATTTGAGTTAAGGTATTTTGTCACTGGTATTCCTGGAGGGATGTAGTTTCCATCTCAGTATATCGTATCAGACGGTGCACAGCATCACGTTCTTCCTTTATGGCTGATGCTGGACATGGTCACAGGTGTCAGACTTCTCAATTGTGAAACATGAATTTTCTCTTGTAATTAATAAGTCATCAGTCTGGGTAAATGATTGGAGGTGTTTGATTAGTAGTTTAAACTGTTGAATACAAAGATAGTGATCTGAAAAGTAAATCCCTACCTAATTAACAATAAAAAATTTGTCAAAAAAAGAAAAAGTAATCATGGGGTGGGGTGATATTTGTCTCTGTGAATGTTTTATTTCCCAGTACTCTTTTATCAAATACTTCTAGCATGAAATACAATTTATACTCCTTACCTGAATCTATTGTCATTCTGTAGTTGTAAAAGGATGGTTTTTTAATTTATTTAAAGGAGCCCTCTTGGTGTAGTGGGTTGTGCATTGGGTTGCTAGCTGCAAGGTCAGCAGTTTGAAACCACCAGCCACTTGAAGGAGAAAGATGAGGCTTTCTAATCCTGTAAAGAGTTACAGTGGTGGAAACCCACAGGGGCAGTTCTATGCTGTCTTAGTGAATCATTATGAGTCGGAATGAACTTGATGGCAGGCAGGGAGATGCTGGTCTTTGTAAAAGGTGAAAGATTTATACGATCTGAAGAGAAACCAGGGTATTGGTCTTTGTAAAAGAGCTGCTTTATCCCCTCTGACCTTCCCTTTCCTTTTGAAGGCACATAGTCCATTACCATCGTTAATGTTTTGTAGTGCTCGTATTGACCCAGATTTAAGCAGTAGGAGCCCCAATCACGCTGGCTCCTGTGCCCTTTTAATGTGTCTCCCATCAGTTTTGAGCATGTCCTCATTTTCTGGTGTAACAAGATGTTCCCTACTCAATGTATATGTTTTTGCATTTCACTATGTCTCAAAAGGGCCTTATGGTTTTTGGAAATCACAATTTGGATGCTAACATGCTTGTTGCTAACTGGTCTCCCAGGTACTGTTGAATTGGTTATTCCTAATAGTTATGATGTTTATTTTTTTTAATGGCCAGTAACCCAAACCCAGGGCCATTGAGTTGATTCTAACTCATAGCAAACCTATGAGACAGAGTAGAACGGGCTCCTTAAGGTTTCCATCATTGTAAATCTCTATGAGAACAGAAAACCTCACCTTTCTTCTCAGGAGCAACTGGTAGGTTTAAAGCACTAACTTTTCTGTAATAAGCCCAGTCACCAGTGTTCCTTTTGTTGTGGGAACTAAAACATGAAACTCACTGCCAATGAATTGATCCTGATTCATAGTGACCCTATAGAACTGCACCTGTGGGTTTCTGAGACTACCTCTTTAAGGGAGTAGAGACTTTCATCTTTATCTTGAAGAGTGGCTGGTGATTTCAAACTGCTGACCTTTTGGTTAGCAGCCCAACACAGAACCATTTGTCTCCCGGGTCTATAGTAGCAGTGAAGACTAAATGACTCAATAATGAACCCATGGTGCCAGGGGAAATACAGGCCCAGATTCCTGTGCACCTGTGCTGTCATACGCATAGGAGCATGAGACAGTATTTCAACACTAATTAGACTAGGAACATGGCACTGAGTCTTTGGAAAACTGTTGGAATTTCCAGGCTTAGATCTTTCTTCATATCTGATGTATGTGTGTTTTAGGTACAAAGCTACCTCTTTCCTGAATTTTTCCTCTCTTTTCCATTTTTGTACTGTTGATACTGGTAGTTCCTCAGTTTGGAAAAATGTTCACCTTAATCTCAGCACTACCCTACACTCATATTAATTTTTTATTTCTTTATTTTCTAAGGTCTAATGAATCATTCAGGAGCCCCAGTGGCACTGTCTGGTTAGCACTGGCCTGCTAGCTGCAAGGTCATGCATTCAAAACCAACAGCCACTCTGGGGTAGAAAGATGAGGCTGTCATTGTCATCCTCAGAAGCCCCATTATCTTGATGGCAATTGATTTTTTAAAAAAAAATAACTGATTAAAAAAAAAAAGAAATCATTAAGAAGCCCTGGTGGCACAGTGGTTAAAGTGATTGTCTGCTAACCAAAAGGTCAGTGATTCAAGCCCACAAAATCACTCAAGAGACTCCAGTGTGTGGTAATCTACTTCCCTGAAGACTTAGAGTCTTCGAAACCCCATGGGGTTGCTAAGAGTTGGCACTGACTCTATGGCAGCAGGCTTTGGGTGTGTTTTGAATTGATCATTTTATTTTTTTAAAATCATATTTTCCAACCCCCTGGCCCTAGATAATTTGTATTTCCATAGCATTTTGCCTAAATCTTTGTTTTTATCATATTTCCTAGATAGAACTCTTAAAACCACCTATCTCCTCTAGTTAACAACCATGCCTCGGCCATTTTCCCCCCAATACCCAGTACCATGTTTTCTCATAGAGTGCATTCTAAATACTTGGGTTAAGAGGCAGACTAGGGAAAGACCTTCTGTCTAACTTAGGCATTTGTGGATTCTTATGTAGTCCATGCTCAAAACTTGGAGTTTTGAGAACTGCATAGAGCCTAAGGTTGTGATAACTCCTTCATTTCAGTACATTGAGAATTAAGATTCTTGTTCTCCATCTCCTTCATCTTCTTGAATATATTGGGAGATCTGCCTATAAATGAATATGATATTTTATTTATTGCTTTGCCTCAAAAGCAGCCATATTGTTACATTAACATTTTTAAATAATGAAAGCATTTCTATTTCACACACTGATTATACACATTCTAGGAAACCTATATTGCTTATTTAAATCAGGGATAATCAAACTTTTCTGTAAAAACTCAGATAGCAACTATTTCAGAACTTTTCTCTTGTTTCTGTCACAGCCATCTGTCACAGTGAATCATCTCTGTTGTTGTTTGGAAAGAGCCATGGGCAATATACAAGTGAACGGATGGGGTTGTGTTTCAATAAAATATTAGTTATGGACATTCAAATATTATAACTTGTCTTAGAATAGTATTCTTATTTTATAATTTTTAATAAACATTTAAATATTTAAAAATCATTTCTAGCTCCTGGATTGTATAAAACCAAGCAGCAGCCTGGGTTTTGGACCATGGGCTATAGTTTTTTGATTTTTGGTTTAATGATGGTAAATCTATTTCTTATCTTGAGTTGACTTGACTATAAGATGTGTAGTAGTAAATAATTGCTTTGCTAATATTAGAGCCTTGAGAATTCCCGAAATTGGAATGGTCTTATATAATTTTGATTTGGAAAGTATAGAAATATGTTAGAATTCCCTATTTGTATTTACAGTAATATTTACTATAATTGGATAGTTTGGGATTTTATTCAAAGGGTTTCTTGATTAGAGTGCCTAAAAGATATTTTTGTGTAATTATTGTATAGTTTATGGAGAACAATTTAGGATAAGTGAATGAACAATAACAAAATCTAGAGTATGCAGTTGTATCATCATCTCTGATTGTCACTTTAAATAATGTGATCCAACTTTTAGAGTCTGAGTCAGAATCGATTCAATGGTAGTGATGTTTTTTTTTTTGATAGATGGGAATTAGACTACCACCACCACCATCAAAATGCCTCTTTCTGTTCCTACATTTTAGTCTCAATTTTGTAGTTTTAAATCTCTTCAGTGTTTGTGATTTGTAGTATTCGATTATAGTGTCTTCCATTTACCAAAATACAAGTTACCAAAAACTCAATATGATTTAATGTATTCACAGTCATTAAAGCATAGATATTTATTTACAAATAAATAACTGGAATAGTGTTTATGGTAAGTTAAATGGATAAAAAGGTAAGAAAATGACACATTGGATTAATGAAAGCATTAATCCAAACCCAACCCACTGGTGTCAAGTCAGTCCTGATGCATACTGACCCGAAAGGGCTAGTAGTGCTGCGTCATTGGGTTTCCAAGTCTGTAAACTTTTATGGAACCAGAAAGCCTCCTCTTTCTCTTGCAGACCAGCTGGTGGATTCAAACTGCTGGCCTTAGAATTAATACCCTAATGTGCAACCCACTATGCCACCAGTGCTCCTTAAAGCACTAATGGTGCTGAATTGATGATGGGTTTATGGACATGAAATCATAAAGCTTTTTACATTAAAATAAACCTTTTTTGATTAATAAATTACACAGCTAGTTATTTAGAATTTATAATGTCATGTAAGATTAAGCCAGTAAGTGATTTAAAAAAGCATCACACCATATCTTTTATTAGTATCTTTTTTTTAAAAAGACCATAAAATGTTGAAATTCCTTTACAAATCTCTCGCAGGGTGAAGATGATGCCTACCTGTGTATTCGTGATGCTCAGACTGTGCACGTACAGGCTGCTCATTTGACCGGACGAAGTCCTCCTGTGATGAACTCCGGGGCAGGGGTGAGCCCTAGGGAAGTCTCCTTTGGCTGCTTTACCTTCTGTCTTTGTGGTTGTGCTGCAAGTTAGTCTCAACCACTGCACTTTAAAACAGAGCCCGAGTACTGACCTGGGCTTGCCTCCTCTCTCTTAGTGATGTATGAAAGACTTCTTGCATAAATAATACGGGAGAAACACTTCTTTGCTTCAGAAAGAAGACACGTTTCCTTTGTAGGAAAAGATAAATTCTTGCTCATGTTTAAATTCTTTTGGTTAACATCTTATAAAAGAGTCTTATTTGCTGGCCCAGTTATCTAATGCAGATGTATCAGGAATAGCACAAGTTGGTGACTTTAACCAACGAATTTATTTTCTCACAATTTAGGAGGCTGGAAGTCTGAATTCAGGTCGCTGACCCTAGAAGAAAGCTTTCTCTCTCTGTTGGCTCTGAAAGCGGTTCCTCATTTCTTCTGCGCTTCCGAACCAGGATAGGCCTCAAGTGGCTCGGCTTCGTTCTTCCCCTGCCTCTGTTTCCCAGCTTGCTTGCTTCATCTCTCTTTCTATCTCGAAAGAGATGGACTCAGGCTATACCCTACACTAATCCTACCTCCTTAACGACACAGGCGATGCTTTCTCAAAAGGTATTAGAACCAAAGGCACAGAGGTTAGGATTTGCAACTCATCTTTCTGGGAACACAGTCAAGCTGTCACATTGGCTAAGGCGGTGCCCTATCTAAAGCATACGGACACATGTTTAAAGAAGTGGCCGTGGTCGTGACAGAACGAATGTCCTGCCTGCGGAGAAGGAAGAGCACGCGGGGTAGAGATTCGTTTCAGTGCCCACAGGCAGTCATCTTGCGTGCCCTTGTGGGCACCTGTGCCAAAGTGTAGCCTGTGTCTGGTAGAGAAGTGTCTCTCCCTTGGCAGTTGACAAGCAAACGAGCTCTGACGGAGCAGGAGCTAGTCCTTGAGGACACGTTCTCCAAGTAGCGCTCCCGTGGGTTGGCACACCCGGCGTGTGTCGGGAGACCACTGTTCCCATTCTCTTCAAAGGGAAGAGGAAGTGCATAAACACTAGAAACGAAGATAAACGCGCACGCACGTTTACAGAAAGGAGATAGAAGCGGTCCGTTTCGTGCATACTTTTAGTCCATCTTTGTCGGGCGCTGAGAAGGCTCGTTGTGTGTGTTCGCAGGGTCCGCTGGAGGACGTGGCTTGGAGGTTGGCGGACGGTGGTCTGCAGTGTTCTTTCCGAAGAAACATTAGCCTTCTCGGTTTTAAGGGTAGATTTGATCTCAACAGAAGCTACTACATATTTATAGCAGATGGTGCCACGGATGAGGGTAAGTATATTGATTAAAAACCATCTTTTAGAAGTTTTATTCTCTCCTCTTCCCTCCTTTATTTCTTCTTTTGGAGGGATCTACTGCAATTGCTTTATATTTAGCTATATACTTATGGAGGAAGTTCTCAAGAACTTTTCCCATTTTGTTTGAAAATTTGACTTTTGGTTAACTGTAGCCTTTCCCCTGGGAACTAGAAGAAGACACAGCATTAATTATGTTATGGTGCAACATTGCGCATAAAAACTACGGCCTCTCCACTGGAGATCCCCTTGCAGAGGGGTCTCGGGGAGGAGATGAGCCAGTCAGGGTGCGATGTAACAATGATGAGAAATACAACCTTACTCTAGTTCCTAAAGGTTTCCTCCCCGCTCCCACTACCATGACTCGAATTCTATCTTGCAAGACTGGCTAGACCAGAGGAGGTACACTGGTACAGATAGGAACTGAAAATACAGGGAATCCAGGACGGATGAGCCCTATAGGACCAGTGGTGTGAGTGGCAAAACAGGGAGGGTAAAGGGAGAATAGGCAGGAAAGAGGGAACCAATTACATGGAACTGTGTGTGACCTCCTCCCTGGGGGAAAGACAACCAAAAAGTGGATGAAGGGAGACGTCGGACAGGGCAAGATATGACAAAATACCCATTTATAAACTATCAAGGGCTCATGCGGGAGGGGGGAGCGGGGAGGGAGGGGGAAAATGAGGATCTAATGTCGGGGGTTTAAATGGAGAGAAAATGTTTTGAGAAACGATGTACAAATGCGCTTTACACAATTGATGTGTGTATGGATTGGGATAACAGTTGTATGAGCCCCTAATAAAATGTTAAAAAAGAAAAAAAAAAAACCAAAAAAAACAACTACGGCCTCTGATGGGCAGTCTGCACTTGGACTAGAAGACACTATCAATGCCTGGTAAGAAGCCTTATCTTTGGGCTCCCCTGAAGGCAATAACTTTGGGCATGTCCTTTGTAGGGACCCTAGAAGTGGTGCCTTTTGGGGTTACCGTAAAAGACAGTGTTTCCTGTAGGACAACATGCTTGGTAGGAGTCTCATGTCCTTGGACCTGCGAGGTGAGGACAGGATCCAAGCATAGTTCTTGAGCATCTTGGTGAACTACTGCAAGATCTCTCCAAGACAAGACCTCTTCTTGAAGAAGAATGCCTTCTCTGTCTAAGTGCTGCTGCTGGAGCCCTGGAATGCCCTCAATGTTCTGCTGGCATGCTGTGTCTCCTATCCCATATTCTTCTGCATCAATCTGATGCCAGGTGCTACCCATGATAGTGTTATGAATATAAAATTCTAGTGTATCCTCAGGAAGACTACCCTAGGGACTGTTACAAACATAGTATACCATTTTAAGGTTTTGGTTAATGATGTTTTGTATAACTGTCGGACATACCAGTGTAGTATTCAATGACCCATCTCTTGAGACAACACTGCCCCCACACTTTGAGGCTATAGTCTAATTTGATACCAGTGAGGGATTGAGAAGGTCCTTGGATGGGGTAAGGGAAAAAGAGGAGTAGGAATTGTGCTCCAGACAAGAGTATGAAAAGCCTGGGCTATTTTATTATCACGTGATTCAGAATTTATGCTGTTGATGGAGTGGAGGCTCAAAAGTTTTTGTGGCAAGAGTCATGGAGTTGATTCCAACTCACAGCGAGCTTTTATAGGACAAGCCTTCTGAGACTATAACTTTTTATGAGAGTAGGTAGAAAGCCTCATCTTCTCTTCTCTAGAGCAGCTGGTGGTTTTGAACTGCTGACCTTACAGTTAGCAGCCTAGTGGGCAATCCCGTACATCACCGGGGTTCCTAGCTAAAGGAGTCCCATTGGCATAGTAGTTAAATTATCAGTTGCTAACAGTTAAAGGCTGGTGGTTCAAACCCACCTGTGATTCTGCAGTAGGAAAGGACCTGGTGATCTTCCCTTGTAAGAGCCAATCAACCCCTCTAAAGTAGTGCCAATCTGTGTAATAGAAGGGGATCAACTTGATGGCACCCAACAACAACATACTGTGAGAAAAGAGCCTTATGCTGTATTAGTCTCTCTACTCTGCCCCCTGGTGGTGTTTTTGTACTGATGGTATGGCAGGTTGAATAGCTCACCTTTTGCGTGGTTTCTCAAAGTGTGGTTCCCAGACAACTTGCTCAGGATCACCTGGAATGAAAGCTAAAAATTCAGAGTCTGCATTCCATTTCAGATCGATGGGATCTCTGCTGATGTGCGTGGAATCGTGTTCTGTCTGCTGCAGTTTCCATAACTCACGGCACCAGGAGAGGCTTCTCTCCACTAGGCTGCGTACACAAAAAGGGCATAGGGACAAATGTTAGAACTTGCTCTTGAGATGGACTTTACCACATTTTAAAAACTCTTATCTTATTTCACAGTGTACACTACACATCAATACAATAGTACCGTGAAACCTCGGAGAGCCACAGCTCACAGGACTGCTTTAATTTTTAGGGTCTCTCAAGAATTCTACCTTTGACAAGTTGCAGCCGCTACTTTTCTGCTGATTTCTGTTTAGTGGAAATATTTGAATGCTCCTTTTTTGACAAGTCTCTGCTTTTACAGGATTTTAATGCATGTGTATAGGTATGTGTATATGTATTTGGACATACACATACACATGCATACATTGCAAATTTATATATCAAAAAACCAAAACTCACAGCTATTGTGTTGATTCCGACTCACAGTGACCCCATGGGAGAGGGTAGAAGTGCCATGTGGGTTTCTGAGACTAACTTTTTACAGGAGTAGAAAGCCTCATCTGAGGAAAGTTAGCAAGTACTTAATCATCTTCTCTATTATCGACTCACATAATATGTGGGCCACTTATAAATTGAATTCTGCTCAAAAACAATGAGGCTTTGTAGTATTGAAACTTTTTCAAAGTAATCACATAATCTTTTTAGGTGAAAAATGTAAAGCATACCCAATTTCAGGAATCTCTTAATTATCTGTTTGACAGTTAGGAGTTCAACCGAAATCCAATACCCACTATGTGAAGATTAATCAAATTCCACTTTCCCACATCTGAATCATCGCTGACGCTAGCTGCCCAAGTGACACTCCTTCGCTCTGCTCCTTGCTGCCTGCGACTAAGCCTGTGTTCACAGTTAAAAGGATGGTTAACAGTTACATTCAGATTGCTAAGGTGGACGCCAGCCACACACTCGGGAGCCCACAAAACACCTACTGGCCACATTCCCTCCGGCCCCGCCCTCCCCTGCCTTTCACGATGGAGCTCTAACCTGGGCTCCGCTCTTTCAGCTGCTGCCTCTCCTGTCGGGTTCTATAGTTCACCGGAATGACTGACGGAAGTCACAGAAATGACAGTCAAATCTCTGAAAGCTTGAATCTGTGTAAGGTGGGAGCCAGTCAGGGAAGGAAAAGTCAAATATTTTCCACTAAAAGGAGAGATAGAAAAGGGGTAAGACCATGGGTGAAAGAGAAAGAGTATATATATATATTCCAAATATATATACCAAATGCATATGTCCTAAATGCATATACACCAAAAACCCAAAATCCACTGCTATTGTGTTGTATTTCTTAACTGTGAAACAGATAATTAAGTGATAATTTGTCGCCTACAAAGATTACATGATTACTTTGAAAAATGATTTCAACGTTACAAAGCCTCATTGTTTTTGAGCAAAGTTCAACTTATAAATAGCCCACATACATGTGATTAGGAAATAGAGAAGATGATGAATTACATGCTAACTTTCCACAGATAGAGGTATACCTGTACCTATAGCTCCAGCTATAGTTATGCATGCCTTTCGAATCTAAACCTTTTCTAACTAAGGCATAGAACTACTTGATTTTGGTTGGACTTCCTGCTGAGAATTTTACATTTCTACCCCAGATACACTGACACTGAATCCACATTTTAAGTAGATCTTCAAGTGATTCTTATGTGTGAATGGTTGTAAGCCCTGTTTCTCACTGCTGGTTTCCCCTTAAGATGCCAACATTGTCTTGTGAATTACTGAGTGTTTAAACTGATGGAACTCACTTGGGTAAAAAAGTAAACTACAATAAAAAAGTCTACCAATTTTGAGACCCTGTGATCACAAGAAGGAGCCCCAGTCGCGTCAGGCTGCTGATTTGCAATGTCAGTAGTTTGAAACCACCAGCTGCTCTGTGGGAGAAAGATGAAAGAGGCTTTCTACTCCAGTAAAGAGGCTTTCTACTCCTTGAAAGAGTTACAGTCTCAGACACCCACAGGGGCAATTCTGCTCTGTCCTGTAGGGTTGATAGGAGTCAGAACCTACACATCACAGGACCCGTTACCTTAACAATTCATGAATATCACCTGTAAAAGAATACCATAGAACCTTGCACCAAACAAGACTCAGCCTCCCTTAGAGAACTTTAACAACTATAATGGAGCCATATAATAAAACTCCAAACGTATACTGGGCCTTTGTTTTAATAACGTTTAAGACCATGCTCAGTCCATGGCTCAACAGTTAAAACCACGTTTCTTCTAGCTTAACTCTAAGGCTCCTTTACCACCATTCTACCAATGTAGTACTTTTAGGTGCATCAGCACCTTTTGAGGTCATTATCAATGGTTTTCTTTCCTTTTTTTGTGTAGATCTTCATAGTTTATAGTTCTTCTCTTTTCCCCTCTTAATGCTCTCTTCTCTGTCTCTTTATGAATTCTTCCAGTTTCCTGACTGAATTTCTGATCTGTTCTGTTCTAAGAAACTATGGTATAATGGCATTTGCCAAAAGACTAACCAGGTGTTTTACCACCATGTTTTGAATGTTCTCTTTTCCCACCATTGCTTTAAAAGCCTCTTGAACATATGCTCAAAATCTATCAAGAAACCTGAGCTTCCTATTCTATTTATGTCTCCATTGATCTATTTACCTACTCCTATAATAGTTAAAATTACTAGAACACAAAACCAAAACCCACCACCACCGAGTGACATTAGACTCACAACGAGCCTGCATGTGGTTTCTGAGGCT